CCACATCGCCCCTTACATCTGGCCACCTAATTTCTCATGCGGTAACACTTGATTATTATGTTTGGGGCGCAACTGAGCGAAAAAAAAAAACAAAATTCCTTGTAACATGTAACATGAACTAAAAGCAAGGATTATGGCAGTAATCACCAACTTAAACAAGGAAACTGTCCAGAGAAGATGCAGAAGATTCCAAAGACGTGTGGAGGCCGTGGTTGAAGCCAATGGGAATTTTATTGAATAAATTTACTCTTTAGTATTTCAAGATATTTATTGTGTAATTTTGGTAAATATATCTGTTAAAATGAGATGCCAGTGTTATCTTCATTTTGCTTAATTTGGATAACAATTTATCCATCGAACCTTATATATGTACGCAGGGTCCCATGATTAATGCGCATTCGATTAATGCGCTTTCGATTAGTGCGCTAAAATATACCAAAATTCGAATACATAATACTCATTTAGTGCAGTAAGACAATCATCAATTTAACAATAGTAATTGAAAATTGAGTTTTATACAGTTACCGCTCTACGCACTATCCACCTTAATCGAGGGATAACCTGTATATCATTTTCTTCATTGTCTTTTCATTTTATTTTACTTTTTTTACAAGGGTTTTCACCCTGTACAACTCTCGGGTGCCCTTCGATTTAGAGGGTTCTTTCTTTCTTTTTATGTAACCTTTCAGGACGTAGGCTATCATGGCTCTCCACCTCCCCCTATCCCTTGCAACACTCAACAATTTCCTTCCCTCTGCTCCCTCCTCCAGACCACGTCCTATCATCTACATGAGTCTGCCAGGTATGTCATGTGTTGCTTTCCCTTGTCTCTCTTTCCCTCTATTCGTCCCGTGAGTATCAGATTGTCCAAGTCGTCCTTCCTCATTATGTGTCCTAGGAACTTCAGCTGCCTTTTCATCACACTTTTCTAAATCTTAACTATGAAGCACGTGCTTTTCAGGTTTTGACCCTGTTTCTAAGTAACATGCACGTATTTAAAATTCATTCTTGTATACACTCTTGGTTTTCCTACATTTTTAGAGGGTTACAGAGTATGAATTACAGCTTATACGGATATTTGGGTAAGATAACGGTTAAGCCTAAAATTGAAATTGATTTTGGTTGGGAAAACATCCTCTTTGGGGGAGATTACATGAAGCAGTAATTCACAGGAAGATGATGTTTGAATGAAAATTACCTCTCACCAATTGAATATGAAGGCAATGGGGGCGTTTCGTTAAAATGCGTGTAGCATGGCGGGTCCTAGACTTGAACGGTAGAACGGGTGGAACTAAGGAATGTAGTTGGTGTGAGCAATTTCCATGGAGGTAGCGATAGATCATTGACAGGCTTGCGATGTGTCCTCCGTTAGAGAGATGTTGTACGGTGGAAAATAATTTGTCACCCACAAGGACGCAGAGACGCATTTCGACTCAATAGAGACTGCAAAGTAATGAGTGGGCAGCCTCTACCCAAATAAGGCAACAGTGATTTTAGGCATGGTCTGGCTCTTTTGAAAGTAGATGATAGTAGGAGGTGTCAGGAACTGGAACAATACATGGAACCGACCGTTTTCCTTCATCTTTAGAGATAGATCGTATGTACGAGTTCAACTTGAGATACAATAGTCGCACAAGGCAAGCCCCCACCCACAAAGGAAACATTCATTAATCGTAACTGGTGATAGGTCAGGGTCCAATCGGAGATAATGGAATGTAACCAATTTTTTTACAGGGAATTGAATGTAAGCAGTCCCTTTTTCCCGAGATATAACTAGATTAGAGGTGAGATCAGTTGCCAATCTCTTTTCAGCTAGCTTTTTGGTGGTTCAAATATATATCAAATATGATTATATATATTCAAAAATGATAATGCTCTACACTTAGGCAGATCATTTATGTACAGTACAATAGTGTTTGTTCGTTGTTTGCTTGGCTCCTGGAGGACTGGCCGTGAACAATTTGTAATAACAAATGAGAGCAAGACTAGACTTAAGGAAAATTTATTCTGCTTAAAATAATTGATAGCAGCGTACCTACTAGTTATAGTCCTCTACAAACGAAAGAGTTCTCCGAAGGGAGTTTATCATAAAACAAGGGACATTACTGTCGATTACTTTATCACAGAACAGCCTTCATTATACCATTATCATACTTGTAAATGTCAAACTTTTCATCGTTCGTAATTCAGTACATTCTTTGAATCACATTTTTATCGTTTTTATCTCCTTTTTAAAAATATAATTTATTCTTTGCAGTGACCTGACCCTTGAAACTTTCACTAATTTCACATTTTGCTTAACGTTTCATTTCTAGTTGCTATCCATCGTTATCTTTCAGATTATTCACTTCCTGTTAGCATTATTCTTTTATTTTCATTTATTTACGGTATTCGATATCTTTCCTTGTTTCGTTGTTTTTTTTATTTATTTCTTACGTTTCTATAGTTTCTCATTTCCTCCCTTTCTTATATTCATTTCCTTGTCCCTTTCTATCTTCGTTTATTGCATTCTTTCTCTCTTCATCTCTTTCCGCTTATTAATTCTGTCTGCATGTTTATCAATTTCGTAGCCAATATATACACAAAACTTTACTGAACGTTAATTCTATTCTGTCGTTTACATATTTTTTATCATATATTTAATTGTGTACACATATTTATTTATTATTCATTCCTTTTTTCTTTTTCCTTTCTTTCTTGCTTTCTTTTCCTTCATTCTTTCTTGTTACTTTCCTTTCTTCTTTGCATTTCACTCTAAATGACTGATTTTAAACTAACTCAACATATTCTTTTACATCAATATAACTGATAACCATAATTTATTCTTGTTGAGTAGATTAAATTATTTTTTCTTTTTTGATTGTAATTAAATTTCCGTGAGATTCAACATAGATGACAGTTTTTTTCTTTTTCCTTTTCTTCAACATCAAATCAATATTTTAATTTTTTTCTTTATATATATATATATATATATATATATATATATATATATATATATATATATATATATATATATATATATATATATATATATATATATATATATTAATCTTTTCACTTTCTTGTTTTTTCCTTCTTTCTTTGTAGTTCAATAATTCATGAGCGTATTCGTTCCTTTCTTAAAATTCTTTCTATGTGTCATTTCCCCCAAATTCTTCAATTGCATAGCATTAGCTTCTACCGAAATAGCCGATGCTTATATACTTATTTCATCAATTTTTGTAAAGCAACATATTTCTCTATTTTTCCATATACTGTTTATTTTATATATTTTTCGCTTATTCTTTCTTTCTCTCTTTCTCTCTTTCATTCTTAATGTTCATTCGTATTATGTCTTTAACATGTTTCGGATGAATACCCGTCTCTGAATCATCACGTCATTTAAAGTGTCCCAGTTTTGAGAATATCTTTTCTTTTCACAAAAACACGACCAGTGAATTTTGTGTGTTATTTTTCAAATGTCAACAAACATTGTTTACGATTATAGCTTCCATTCAGAAAACGGATATTTCTTTTGAAATTGAGACTTGAGATGTTTTCTAATCAAAATAATATTAGTCAGCATCAGAAGAGAATAAGAGTTTCGTACAAACCAGAATCATGAATTTACACACACACACACACACACACATATATATATATATATATATATATATATATATATATATATATATATATATATATATATATATATACACACACATATATAAATATAAAATATATATATATATATATATATATATATATTATATATATATATATATATATTGCGGTGAATAGATATATTTTTGAATTCTATTAAAATAAAAGTCAGTCCATACTTAGCACCTAAATATTGCGTTTTGCATGAAACGTGTCGTGTAAAAGGTCAATGAGAGTATGTATATTGATTAATACTTACCTATCTATCCATCTATATATATATATATATATATATATATATATATATATATAGCGTATTTAGGCAGCATTTTTTCATTGATGCATGTTTCAGTTTTGTCTATTTATTTTATGCAAATTCCTTTCATATCGTTTGATAAGCTTAACAACATTATCATTGAATGATGAAAGAAAAACACCATATTGATAGATATTTTTTTTACACCTAAGCTTTTATTTTACGTAAGCCATCATCACAGATAACAATTACATTACAATATATTAAACAATACACGGATATAACAATAATGTTAGTCTGTTTTTGTTTGCATGGAAGATTTCCAAAAAAAAAACAAACTCTTGAATACGAGACACTGGAAACGAAAATCGCACCGCGGCTCATTACATCACCCATGACCACGCGAGAGTGAAAACGAGAATTGTTAAGTATGGCAATCCGTTGGTATAAATCAATGGTTTCCGTTATCAGTTATAGCCATTTAAGAGTATTAGAGGATATTTCATAGTTTATTTTGTTCTGGTTTGGTTTCAGTTGTTTATGTATATAGCTTCAAGAATTTTTAGTTAACTTAGCGTCGACATTTGATAAATATTGAATGTTGTTTTATATAATATAATATACACACAAACACACACTGATACAGGTATATATATATATATATATATATATATATATATATATATATATATATATATATTAGTGTGTGTGTGTGTGTGATTGTGGGTGCGGGTGGGTTTTTGTGTTTGTGTTTCTATTTAGTAATATATATTTTTCTTTTGTTGACTTAGCATTTTTTTATCTCGTTACTGATTTGCTATGTCCACCTTTTTTTCATTCTGCTCAAATTTATGCAAAGGCTAACTAATTTGATAACTAGGCAGACTCTGAAAGCTAGAGTAATATTGTAGAGATTATAAAACCCGTAGGAATGGCGCGAGAACAATTTTCGGTGTACTAATACACACGAGAAAAATAAACTATGAACGTGACACCTGAAGTATAAACACACCCAACATTTTTCCCCCTTTAGCATTAACTCCAGCTTCCCCCATTTACAAACCTCGGGCCATTTCCTAGTGGTAAATGCAAACCTACTTACGCTGAGTGCGTCTTTCACGTCTGCCAATCCGTCAGCTTTTATAATGAACGTAGGAGTGAAAATGCAAACAGCTTTTGCCACCGTCAGCGGCACAAAAAAGATTCCTGTGGTTCCTGAAGATGACGGCGCCAAAAAGCAATCAGCTTCCTTTAAAAAATGTAACTGAAGTGTTAGTGCGCTTACGCAAGAATAACAAGAAAAAAGCAGAAGAAGAAGAAGAAGAAGAAGAAGAAGAAAAAGAAGAAGAAGAAGAAGAAGAAGAAGAAGAAGAAGAAGAAGAAGAAATATAATGACAAGACAGCGAACAAAAAGAAAACGTGTAAGTTAGAGAAGTTAAAAAATAGTGACTAGAAATTCAATAAAGATATACTTGACATGACAAATCGAAGTAAACGAGAATTGAAAAAAGAGAAGAAGAAAAGAGTGTGAATAAGATAAAAGAGTTAGTGAAACAAAGGAAGTAAAAAAAGAGAAAATCATGTGAACTTGAATGAAATGTGAACCAAAGAAAAATCTGTCACTGAGAAGAAAACGAAAGTTGGCCTGAAAATAATGCGGTAAAAAGCATTTAGGAGAGAAGTAGAAGAAAATATATTTACGGAAAGAAAAGAAAAAAGACAATAAAGAGGCTGAACCGAAAATAGACAAAATAGTAATAATAAATAATAAAAAAAAAAAGATGGAAGTATATGATATAGGAAAATTATCGATTCCCTATATGAGTCGAAGCAGGAAAAAAAGGACTAAACAATTGAACAGTTTAAAAAGCATTCTTTTATATAAGTAATACATTATACAAAGAAAATGAGAAGAGAGAATTGCCAAATATATTCCTTTAGCAGTTACGGTCATGGCATCGGGAACAAAGTCCAATACATCTATCTGTCTGAAATTGATTGAATGACTTATCTGAAGTTGATCTTATCTCTTATGCCGAAGACTGCTTGTCCATTAATTATCCAGGTTTGCTCGTGGCCAGCATCGCCTGTCCTTCAGAATAGGCTAAAACACATCCTTTCACATTAGTGGTCTCCAAACCTCTTACATTTGGCGCCTAAAATCTATGTGGCATCTAAATATGGGTGTTACCCATTAGTGTCAGACAAATAGACTCATCTTCCCTGTCAGGATTCTGATAAAACAAGGGGAGATAACCCATATTTTCCTTAAAAAACAGTGAAAGTTTAATTAAAAGAGAAAACGACATAATCGAAGACCACTAACCTGGAAAATAATACGAATAAAAAGAACAAGATAAGCAAAATGTAGGAAAAGCAAAAGCTCTGAGCATATGAAGAATAATGATAAATTCCGTGCTAATAGGAATATGAGATGGACAAACACGGTGCATAAATAATCACAGGTTTATTGTAGAAACTAGTACAAGCAAAGAAGTAATAGTTATGCGCACGGTCGTCGCAAGTCAGTACATTTGGGTGCGTGCTGCTTTCGAAAGGCAGACAGATCTCGCAGATCCCAGCTCGATGCTATTTAGCAACTGCCTCACGCAGTCACATGTGGCACAAAGCCTAATTTAAAGTGGGGCCCTACATAAACGTGATCGGGTCTGTCTACCGCCCCGGATGAAACTCTGCCCTACGGCATAACCTCATCTGGGTACCTCTCTGCTTTCGGGCAGAGAGTTCGACTAGGCCAGCTGGGAAAGATCCCAGCTCGACGGTATTTAGTAACTGCCCTACGCAGTCACATGTGTCACAAGGCCTAATTTAAAGTGGGGTTCCCGAGACCGGAGGCTCGGCCAAAAAGTCCCCGTAGACTCCTCATAAACGGGATCGGGTCCGTCTACATCCCCGGACGAAACTTTGATATAATCTCGTCCGGGTTCCTCTCTTCCCGAAGGCAGAGAGTTCGACTAGCGCAACTGGGAAATGTCCCAGATCGACTCTTCTGTCTGCTGTCCTAACGGATATTTATGGGTGGTTACCATCGAAAGTGCCGCCACTTATGGGTGTGGTAGGTTATTCCATTACATGAAATAATATAAAGCTCAGTTCACATCCTGCTTTAGAACACCAACAATAATTTAACAAAATAATAAGGGACATGAAAAATATTAAAAAACTTAAAATACACAATTAAAGCTAGAAAAATGTGAGTAAAAACGACATAAGACGAGAGAATAAATTGAAGAAGTGAATGAACAAAAGAGATAGGGTGAGAAAAGTAGGCATAAGAATACAAAAACCAAAAACATTCATGTCTGAGAAGAAAGTGAACAAGAAGGAAAAAACCAGAAGTAACTTAGGATAAAGCGAGATGCAGATTTTTTTTTTTTTTTATGACAGACAAAGTAAAATTAAACAAAACAAAAACAGAGGAAGGAAAAGGAAGAGAAAATTAAGAAAAAGAAATGATATGTGAAGTCTAAAAAAGACACGACGATGAAGATGACAATGATAAATTAGAAGAATTTGGGCTATAAACGTGATTAAATCTAAAAAAAAAAAGAAATGTTTGTATTTTTTACGGGTTATAAACGGCTTTCAGGCTATTTTAAGTCAGATAATATTAGATTATGAGAAATTATTTGAAATAAGAATGATTTAGTACTAACTGACCCAAATCTGGGGGAAGAAGTGGATGATTTATAACTTCACAAGAATATTTGCGAGTAAGAGAATATCTCGATCTCAAATAGAACTCGTCTCCCATTTCCAATTCTGATCCATTCTCCATTACAACACACGAATGTCCAACATGCATCACCTGATATTCCCAATTGCTAACCCATTTAGGTACTGAGTATGTTCCATGTTGCTTAACTTAGGGGATAGTACAGGAACCGGTGATTCAACTTGGTATGGTCGGAAGAAGAAGAAGAAGAAGAAGAAGAAGAAGCCTCAAAGACATGGTTTCGATTGTTATACACATTTTGACAGCATTTTTGTCGTAAATAGCATGTGTCCTGGTTAAATTTGTAGGTTCCTTAGTTTTTCTAGGACATCGCTTACAGAACCGCCATGACCTTGATGCAACTTATATTGGCGGTAATTTAAAACTTAAAAATGATTTAGCACATTTGCATATATATATATTAAGAAATGGACAAAGTCCGACAATTTATTTATTAAAGACATTTTTATGTTTAACGTTCTTTTTATAGATACAAGTATTTAAGTAAATGCTCTGTTTATAATAAACAGTCCGAGAAATTTTCATAGAAAATATCCATCCTTTGACAGGATTCGAACATGCATCCTATACGGAACCGTCATTTACGCGGACGTGCCTTAACCGACTCGGCCACAAAGGAGCGTTCGGTAGGCAAGGACGAATTTTACTGCTTATAAACTTCAATCTTCCATGAATCTCGTACATTCATAACTGCTCATAGTGTATCAAATGTAAACAAATGACGTCATATATTAAGAAATGGACAAAGTCCGACAATTTACTTAAATACTTGTATCTATAAAAAAGAACGTTAAACATAAAAATGTCTTTAATAAATAAATTGTCGGACTTTTGTCCATTAAAAGGCCGGTAAATGTTATTCAATACTGTTTATTATAAACAGAGCATTTACTTAAATACTTGTATCTATAAAAGAACGTTAAACATAAAAATGTCTTTATATATATATATATATATATATATATATATATATATATATATATATATATATATATATATATATATATGTATATATATATATATTAGAGAGAGAGAGAGAGAGTTAGTTAGTTAGTTAGTTAGTTAGTTCCGTTTATTTCATGAGATGAAATTGGCCTGTTTTGTCCGAATGTTTGATTAAATGTAATGTCAGTTTTATTGGTAAGACTGGTGTTGAAAGTTTGAGTGATACTATATGGAGGCCAGGTACCGGTAAGATTATCAGTGCTGACAGAAAAATGGCTTTTGTTTTCAGGATGCACATCCATAGCGTTTTCCCACTTTGGACAATTCAAAAAGAAACGGAGGTTTAAAATTATAGTTTTCATTCCCTTAGATGGACTACCATCTTGGGCAGCCGAACTGCATCTACCGAAACAGCTTTTTATATATATATATATATATATATATATATATATATATATATATATATATATATGGTAAACGACGAAAATATTCGTACACCCAGAATTTTTGAATACTTTTGTCGATTTCTCAGAATGCCCGCATGATGCCAGTTTTTTATTTTATATCTTAATAAGCATGAAAAATGTATATATAAACTCAATTGTCAGAACAATAACCTCAATACAACACATTCGACAGGCGAATTATGCAAAATAGTAAAAGACAAAATTATTCGTACAGTAGAAAATATCATTTTAAATTGATGGATATGTGTAAGTATAACTAATTGACATAATTATTTTATCGGTGAATCCTTCTAGACTATTTATTCAGTAGAATATGTTTGATAATTCCAGCAAAGTACATTACGTGGTGCACAGAGTGTCACCATTGCTATTCTTCCGTTAAAAACACGATAGGGAAGACAAACGAATTTAGCGTTGACTTGAGACAGAGAATTATTAAAATTCACAAGTCAGAAATTATTTACAGCACTATTTCAAACCAATTAGCTATCACTAGATGTATGGTACAGTCCGTCATAAAGAAGTTTAAACGACAGAAAATCTACCTCTGCGTGGAAGAAAACCCAAATTGTCACCGAGAACTGGCTGAAAAATATGTCGCGAGGTTAATATAAACCCAAGATTTGTTTTGAAAGACATTACCCAAAGTTTGGATACGATGGAAATAAGCGAAGGTACTCACACAATACAACCTTAAAATAGAAATGGATTGTATGGAAATCAACTACGACGAGGCCCTCTTCACAAACCATATAATGTTGTTGCTGGGTTTAATTTTGCCAAAACGTTCTTGGACAAAGAAAATTTCTTTTGAGAATCAGTACTATAGATTGATGAAACAAAATTACAGTTTTGTTACATGAAATGAGGGGATTTCCTCCCAAAGAATACAGTGGCAACATGAAAACATGGAGGAGGCTCGGTGATGTTCTGAGATTGTATTAGCTCAAGGGAAACTGGACAATCAAGGGCAAAAGAGCAATAATTATATCTGCAGACTATATCAATATTCGGGATGAAAATCTACAACAATCAGCCCAAAATCTTTTCTAGGTCGGCGATTTAATTCCGGCATTGTAATAATCCCAAAATATATGTCTAAATCAGTTTTTGGTTGGCTTCAGAAAAAGAAGATTACAGTCCTGCCACAAACGTCAATGAGTCCTGACTTGACTCCTATAAAAATCTACGGCAAGAGTTGAAAGTTCGAATAATTAGTTCACCAAAAAACCTTTCGGGAATTAGAACGTGTAACCAATGAAGTATGGCAGAAATCTCATATGATGTCTTCAAAATCTTTTTAAAATGATTGAAACAAGTTATAATGATGAGACACTGTGCTGTTGACTGTTAATATTGTGAAAATTTTTCAATTTTTTCTATTTTTCATACAGTACGAATAATTTTGTCTTTTCCTAATTTTCAAAATTCGCCTATCAATTTCTTTTGTATTTAAACTATTGTTCTGAAAATTGAGTTTTGTATTTCTTTTTGTGTGAGTTTCTTAGCATAAAAATCAGGCATCATACGGGCATGCGATTCTGAGAAATGGATGAAAATATTCAAAATTGATGAGTGTGCGAATAATAAGTAAAAAGGGATGACCTATAGATAGATAATGTGTGGGATGTTTTTTTTTATCTGTATACCTCTGTATGACCGGGTTTCATATGTAAGAAAGATGCAACAAATATTTTGGTGAATACGTCAATGAAAAAATGTTTCGGCTAAGACAGCTTCGTTTTTCTTTCTTCGATTTAAGCGGCAGTTAAATGAATCTAAAAAAATTGGTCGAATTCTGACAGGCCTAGAAATATAAGACATGATCTTTTGGAACTTATTCTATGACGACTATGACTGTACATTACCTGACATCAATGCAAAATCACTCTGACCCACTCCTTCATATTCTCTCTACACATCTCAATCTGTATTGATCTCCATTGACCACCAATCAACAAATCTTTTTTTCTCTATCACACATCGTTAATAATGGGATCGTTGTAACATGGATAAAATCATAGCCTTCCAACCATGTAACCTCAGTTCGAATCTCACCATGGTCAATTCGGCTTAGAAGGTAACATTTTTATAATATGTCAGCAATCTTCAACTTTTGTAATTGCTGGAAAGCTCTAGTACTGTTTCCCCGTTATGAGTCATTAAGGGTAAATTAGATAGACGGAAATGTTCAGCATCAGTCAATGACACAAACTGACAATTCATGCTAACCGATACGATGACTTGAGTATCCTTATTCATAACATGGTATATCCCGGAATATCGTGTAAACGATAAATTGACTCTGCGGGTGTTGAAGAAGCATAAATGTGGTTGAGCAGGCTTCCTTAACAAGGACAAGCTTGCCACATTTATTAACGAGCCTACTTTTAAACGTGCATCAGCCATTTACTTATTGTTATTGATATTTATTTTTTACTTGCGTATCTAGTTGCATATCTCGCCACAATACGACAAAATTTGTCACTTTATGACGTCTATATCTTCTATCTTGAGTCTATTCTTTGTTCCATGCTGACTTCTTTCTCTCTTCTAGAAGGTGAATTACAATGTCCATTGATGTTTCCACATTTCTTTGAATTTAAGCTGTTTTCGGTGCTTCGCGTCCATACGTCATAGTTGACATTATACATTCATTATTCATGTTATGTTTTAAGCAGTTGGCGATGGTTTTTTTTTCAGTAATTCTCTCTTGTAATTCTATCTGACAAATCCGGCAACATGGTTTTTCTATAACGTGATCACTTGCTATACGCATATGCATTACTTGTCTTATCGTTCTTTGATATCAATTGTTATGCATGACACGTAAATATTTTTGTTTTATTTCCATTTTGTTTTTAAACCTAATTTGATATTTTTACAGCCACCTTCATTTAGCAACTCATCTGAGAATTCCTATATTAATAAACTCTAGAACAGTGTATCTAAACGTGGTGGCTAGCGTCTTCTTGTGGGTTCTGTTACGTTAAAAGGGGACAGTGGGAGTTTTTTTACAGTGTGGCGGTTGGAATTTTTCATTTTTTTCAAATGTAGAAAAAAAATGTTCAGTATTGGCTTCAAAGGAACATTCTGAAAGCAATCTACAGCAGTGGAAAGCTATCAAACTTTTTCATTCCTTTTCAAACTTCCTATATGGCTGAATGTGGTTTCAATGCGGTTACAATAAAACAAAGGAACAGCCTGCAAATTACAAAACTGTTGTAACCTAGAGAAATTTACTGAATAGAATAATCACACGAAGGATAGTGCTGAATGATAATACTTAGAACAAGAAAAACACATATATGATTCGCCAGCGGCGCGTAGAAGAATTGAACTGCTAGAAGTGAGTTAAGTGAATTCCACAATGAATCTCCAAATGCAGGTCGAATAAGATTTGGGGTATCCGAGCCCGGATGCTCGAGCAACC